GAAACCAAGCGCTTGCGAGCTGTCTGCACCTCCGGCACCGCGGAAGAATTTCCAGTCCTAAGCACATGACACTTGATAAACACAGGGGCAGCATACTTCGGTCAACTCCGTACGCCCCGAAGTTCCGTACAGAGCATCCTTCACAATCTCGGATGGGCCACTTCAAAGTGGAACACAGAAGGCCATCAGTGCACATGCTGAGCGCCCTCTGCTGCAACACTCACAGCAGTAGGGCTCTCCGTTGCGATGGGATCTCATGGAGCGTGAGAGAAAAAAAAACTTAGGATCTACAAGGAAACAGAGCCAGAAGTGGAGCCAGAAGCGAAGAGACCATGCTGCTAACTGTCTCCCCCATCAGTGCAAACAATTCTCTCACTTTTTACCAGGGGCCCTACCTGACGGTCGACGAGTTGGCAGGCGCAGCTTCACCAAGCCCTGCCATCACGATGAGCATGAGCACTTAGCGCTTGCTCGGTGTATGCCCTCAACAGCACTACAGAGCAGCAGGTCCATTTACAAGCTCACAGCCTGCTGCTGGATCACTTTCGCTAGCTGAGACCTTCGGTGTCATGTCATGACGACCGGTAGCACAGGCAGCTTGACGGCAAGTGCGAGCCTGCGTTGCTGCACTCTCCACTTCAGGCGTCAACTCCAGAACGACCTAGACAAGCTCTCACCGGACAAAAGTCCGCCGAGACCGCAGGCCTGGGGCGTTTAGATCCAGCTTCGGAAACTAGGACAGTAAGTTAATCCTCCCCCTACCCCCTCCCAGCGGTCCACGGTCCACAGTGTGGGGTCGGTTCCGATCAGCAAGAAATTTGGCTGGTTGGCCGGGTTCCACGCAGGCTGGTGTGGGTTTGAGCTGCTGGATCCCCCTAGTCCGAGGCTGAAAACTGTCGGGGAGGGTGGGCGAGGGCGGCAGGGGTTGGTCTTCGATCAACTTGCACAACATGACTGGCGGCGTCTTTCACATCCTCAGCGGTCCGGCGGCACGAAATGCCAGTGAAACTTCTTGAGGGGGATGGGCGTGGAAGAGGGTTCGTGGGTCTGCAGCTCCCCTCCCTTGCCGAGGCTGTCCCGCAGTAGCGGTTAAATTGCTTGCCTGCATCTTGGCTGCATTGTTTGGCGCATGTCGTTCTCTGCATTTGTATGCTATGCTGCACAACAACAGCTTCCTTCGTGAAAGTCTGCTACATTTCTCACAAAATGGGCTGAGGTGAACTGGTACTTGATCATCATGCAGCGTGGGAGCTACGGATTAGCTGACAGTTCTTAAATGTCTGGGTGAGATGCCCGGTGGAAACCTAGTAAAAGAAACTCACCAGCTTTCTCCAGAAAAATGGGATACAACTTGTTCATGAGCAAATTTGCTCCTGAAAAGACTGTAAGGGGCCCGCAGTCCGTGGACCTTGATCCATTGCAGGCACCTGCAACACATGAACAATTCTTTCTGTTGTGCATGCATGTGATGACAGTACAGCTACTGCCCGGCAGTGCCTCATCAGACGGCCCAGTAGACATTTCCATGCGATGCTCTCAGACGTTGCTGTTGCCGCTGCTTTAGTACTGTCAGTTCTGATGCACCTAAAGGCGCAAAACCACCACACATCTCCTAATGATCGATTCAGAAGGCGCACGATAGGAACTGAGCTGCGCCAACTGTCAGTCTGCAAAGGTTGGGTAGGTAGAGGCAGTTGCATATGCTACCTGCCAAATGAAGTTTAACGTCTGATGGAAAATCATGCACCGTCACAACAATAATCAATAATGATCACGAAGCATCGCGCTCCTCATGCATGACGTCATGCATGACATAACACAGATCACACTACTAATGCCGTAGAATCATTCCTGCTTTTTGGTCTTGCCGGTTTGGAGCAAGTCGGCCGCGTCTGTCAAAGTGAAACTCGTCAAGCTAGCTTAGGCAGCTTTGTGTGATCATTCATCGTCCTCCTCTCCCTTGCCCAGCACAAATCGCTTCCGAACCTGAGACAATTTCAGGCAAGCTTGATGCAGTGTATGCATCCAAGTTAAGGTCAACCCCTGCAAGAAATCCAGGGCAGCGACATAGTCTTCGTGAAATTGCTTTCGGCGATCGAAAAACCTTGGCATACTTGCACGCACGAGCAGATGCCTGTGCTGTTTGGGCTAGACGAGTGCATGATACACATGTGGCATGTCGCAGGTCGTGAAGGTCCCCTAATACCAAGGTCTCATCTTGAATTTTGCTGAGTTTGACCCCCAACCCGTGCACCAATACTAGCCCGAGCCCGCCAGCACAGTGTACTGTCGCGTAGATTTCCTTGAAGCGCAAAGGGACACGTCAGCATCTAGTCACGGCAATCAGACTGCCTGCCTGTTGCGTGCAAGCTGATTGGTGCACCGCCACGCCGCTCTCTGGTTCATCGCATTTTGTCTGGCTACCAAAATATGGAACAAGCAAATTGACTGTAGTTGGGTCTGCTCTCTACAGCCACCAGTCGCTGCACCACGCCTTCATTCGATCCCCCTCACTTTTTCACATGTGATGCTGTAGCAGGAATCAAGGCCAATCTCTGCAGCATGTGCAGTCATGCTGACAGGACTTTGCACAGACACGTGGTTTGGCTTTAGCCTGCCCCAATCCCGACAGCGTCAAGCCCCATCTACCCGCCTTCAGGTTCACGCTGAGCTACACCATGGTCGTTGAACCAAATAAGGATCGTATGATGTGCGCTTCGTGCGCAGAGCTACAACCAAGAAGAGAACATTATCTTACTCTGTATTGGGGGCTCTAGCCTTCCAAATAAGATACCACTCAGGCGCGCTGTGGAAACAGAAGCCTTGGGCGAACACTCCAGCTGCAGCGGATCGCGCTGCCTGAGATGCAATGGTCACATGAATTGTTGTCCACCGATGTGCCATGAAAGCCATGCCAGGACCCGAGCAAGCTGAGGAGCCGATCGTCAATGCGTGCAAACTTGGCTGCGTGTTCGTCCGTAAGCCTAAGAGTTTGGGTCTTTTGCACTGCTCGTGACAACAGTGAAGCCATATATCGTTACTGGCGCCGCACGGGGCAACCAGCTCAATCTTCGAGCTGACAGCCATAAGACAAGATGCACCACGCTGAGCATCGAAGTGCTGCACTGAGGTCCACGGCTTGCCACTCTCTTGCAGACGCTGTCGCCCGAGTGCATAGAAGACCTAAGGAATAAGCCTCATGATAATGAGCGAGCTTGGCTTGTCACACAAAATGCCAAAGGTAATACAACCGGACATCGAAGGTCCCAAGCTCTCATCTGATCGTGAGCAGCGTTGATCCTCGCAGCTTTACTTGCAAAAGCCAATGTTATGCAGCTCTGTCAACGATGACGAGTTACTGCTGAAGCATCTGCACGCGCTTCCGCTTGGCCTCACTTGCGACAAACAGCTTTGCAAGCTCTACCTCTGTAAACATCACTGAAGGTGGGACTTGCAGTGCTCTGTTCAAAGTCCGCTGAGGTGTTGGCCCTCCTAAAGCGTCTTTCCCAGAAACCCTCTGCGCCTTCAGTACGAGAAGAAAACTCTGCAAAGAAACCCACACGGGCATGAAACATTCAAGGGCTACCACCAAGACTACTTCCTACT